CGCTCTTTTCCTCTTCAACGGGGTTCTTCCCATTCGAAGGTGTTTACATTTTACAAGAGTAAGGGGGTGCCTCTTTTAGTTCAGCCAAATCTATTTCTACCTCTTCAACACCATAAGGGTTGTTATGTGGCTCGTATTCTTCACTTTCTGCTTCAACGTAGGCTACCCTTTCTTTTTTATGATTTTTACTTGCCCTGGCCTTCTCAGCTTTCAGTCGTTTGACCTGTCAAACTCTATCTGCCAACTGGGCCATATCTCTCAAGTGTTAAGTATCTAACTTATTTCTAATGGAATAATCTAACCCACCTGCAGCCATTTCGACCAACTCATGCTCAGGCACCACAGTAAAGCATCTAGATTTCAGAAGACGGAACCTATTTAGGTAGTCGTTTATGGGTTCTGTGAATTTCCTCTTTACGCTTGCCAATTCCTTCAAACTTATCTTTGTTTGTCCCACATAAAACTGTTCATGGAACGATCTTTCCAAATAAGACCACGTATCTATAGAATTAGGAGGCAAAGTGGTAAACTATGTAAAAGCATTTTTGGTTAATGAACTAGGGAAATATTTTATTCTTAGGTCTTCATTGTTTGCTAAGTTTCCCAGCTCTGTCAAATACCTGGTAATGTGCTCGATGGTGGATTCATTTGTATCCCCTGAGAAATTAGTGAATTTTGGGATCTTGTGACCCCTTGGCAATTTTGTTTGTAGAATAAATTTCGCTATAGGGGAAGTGTAGTTGGGGCGTCGAAACCCTGTGTTTAAACCATAATTAGCCATGATTCTTTCGACTATATTTGCTATATTATTTTCGACCAACAGGTGGTCTTGTCTCACTCTGTGAACAACTTCATCTGCATCTTGGCCTCTATTGACCATGGCTATTCTCCTGGGTGGTTCCTCAGGGTCTGGTTGTCGAATGCCTACCGGTTCTATTCTTGGTTCTTCGACCAAATTCTGTCTAGGTTGTTGAACTTGGTTTATAGTTGGTTCTTCTTGAACCCCTATGGTATTCTGCCTGCGTCGAACAGGCGGTTGGGGGTTCCCAAAGAAATCTTCTATTCGCGCCATATGCGCTGACAACTGTTGGTATGATTGGGTGTTTTCTTGATTGGTTCTGTTTATATTCTGGATTAGGGGAGAAAAGATAGTATTCATTTCCCTTGCCAATATTCCAACCATATCTTGGTTACTAGCGTCCATCTGTTGTCTAAGTGCTGCTTGGGTATTCGTGGTTAAAGTAGGCATCTGGGATGATAGGCCTTGGTTTTGGGCGCTTCGACCAATTGAACCAACATTTTGAATTGGCGAAAAAGTACTTACATTAGGTTGAGTATATGTGGAAGTGCCATTGTGTAAACCGCTCATGAATGATGATGAGGGTCCTCCATATGGCTGTTCTGTCTAAGGCCTAAAATTTTTGAATCCTGGTGGCCTGTGTGGTGTCGAAGGTGGTATTTGGCGTCCTACATATGTTAGAACAGGGCCATTTTGAGTATTCGACAGAGATTCTGATGTACCCCCATAGGGGGGCACGTTGGTCGCACTAGCCACAGAAGTAGTTCCTGCGTAAGGTGGATTCGAATTAGATATAGCCATTGCTCCCATTGATGTTGGAATGGCCTGGGAACTAGTCGTCGAATTTATACCAACCGTTCCTGATCCTTGTGGAGGATTTTGTCCTCCTTGATCGTTAGTTGTGTTAACCATTCTTCTGGTGTGTTTTTTCTTAGGGATTGGTTGAGATTCTATAGTAACTCTGCCACTCCTAAGGTTCATATAACGCTTTTGCATATCTTACCAGAAAATAGTGTTTCAAACCCTCTTATGATTACCACTGGTTTTCTCTTAAAACGTTATGACACTGTCCCACCGGGTGTGCCAATTTGTTTGCAGTGATTTCTGGCGAAACAACCGCTAGTCTTCCAAACAGATTTGATGTGTATGGTTACTTGCAGGATCGACTAGATTGATCCTAGAACATTGCCTTAACGTCAATTGTAATACTTTCTTGAGGGCTTATGTAAAATATGAAATGATACTTGTGCATGTGTTTGTGTAAAGGTTTGGAGTGCAAGGCTTCTGAAATTAAATTCAAATGTAAAGTTTTAGCCTAAGCATCTTAATTAAACGAAAAAGGTTTGGATATAAATGTTTGACAATAAAAAGGCTTAATACTGGAATTAAGTGACTTAATTTGATCTATGAATCTTTGCAGAAGAGTAAGACAATTCGACAGAACACAAAGAATTTAACGTAACATAAAGAATTTTAAGAACAATTACATGAAATTGTAAAATAATGATTTTAAAGACAATTATATTGATAAGTGAAATTTCAAAGATAAAATTGTGAGGTCATACGTACATTCTCAACGAAACTCTTTCTCTTTAACTTGATATTTGAGTATTTTTGTGAGTAACTTTGTACGAAATCTGACCTGCTTTTCCTTAACACTAAAGAGCTATTTATAATGTCCTAACCATAACGGTACTATTCTAGGAAATGGCCACGTTGCTCTCTTGCATGTCTTTCGACACTCTAAGGCTTCCACGCGTCCTTCTTATCCAAAGAAACCCTTTTAGAATTTCAAATAATCCCGCTCAAACCTTCAGTAATGATTTTCTTACGTGGCCGTTGAAAATGCGCTCTTTGGACCAAATAAACAATTTGTCTTTTCAGACTATCTTCGACGTAGATCTAGTAATGCATTTCGACATAAAAGCTCTTTTTCAGCCGTTTTATAAAAAATGTAAAAGCTCCTATATTAACCTGGTCGAAATTCCCAGCTAACAATACCTCACTTGGTTGCCTCAGAAAATAATGGTCATGTCCCTCGAACATAGGGATACCCTTAGCAAAGGCCCTCGGTTAAAATCATCATAAAGATCATGGTCCATCGATGTCCCTTGAAGTTGCCTACGGTATATGATCTTGTCCCTTGATGTTGCCTACGAATATATGATGACTGTCCCTTCAAAATGCTAAGGTATCCCTACATGTTGCCTTCAATGACCATTACATCCCTTTCGAATTGACCCTTACAAACTCCAACGACGGTGCTAGCTATTTCTCAATAGTAGGATATCGTTATTTAAAGGAACAAGAATAGAAACGATCTTTTTTCGAGTAGGTAGATGCTAGTAGGTACTTGCTCAAATCAAACTTTTTCACACAAACACTTTCAAAACAGTTTTCAAAAACAAATTTGTAACACTCTTGAGGACAGAAACAAGGGTTAAAACGAAGTAAAACAAAACTTTTCAAAACAAGCACACACAAGAAATTTTAAAAGATGAGCAAGTACCTAAGAGCCCATGGAAAACCATGGATAGAAAGGATGCTAACACCTTACCTTTCTATAATCTACCCCCCGTACTCAAAATCTCGAAAAATAAATTTTTATGTGCTTTTTTTCCTTTCCAGTTGGATAAAATAAAAGTCGGTGGTGACTCTTGCTTACCGCGATATTTTGGGAATAAAAAACGCAAAATGCAAACCAGTATTAAACAGTCGGTTCTGCCACCTGAAACAACCGGCTGAAAATCATCAAACAATGAAGTCGCCATCGAACGTCTTTTATCCCACATGTAGGGAAAGGTAAACATCGAGAAAACCTGAGAAGGGAGAAGTCACGGTCTTGCGACCGAGAGATCGGGTAAGGGAGTCTGTTACGCGAGGGGAAGGTATTAGCACCCCACACGTTCGTAGTACTCTACGGTATCCACTCTTGTTATCTATCTTATGGGTGTGTTTAATCTATGCTTACTGTTTACTATACTACTGGAGGAATGCATGCAAAAGAAAGGAGAAAAAGAATGTAGGGAAAATAACATTGTGCTCGCTTGGGCCCTACCCCAATGCCTACGTATCCGTTTTGAGGAATCAGAGCTACCGTAGTTCGGCTCACATTTTTTGTTTGTTTGTGTTTTTTATGGACGAAGTTAATCCCGCCTTCTGCCGCAGCTCGACCTTTGGAGACTTATGCGTTGGCACAGAAGTAAATTAATCGTGTCCTTTCCTGAAAAGGTTTTTTTAAAGAAAAGTGCTCGAGCGCACAAAAGATTTGAATTTGTTTTGTATTTTTTGTTGTAGATGATGACTGATTGACCTCAAGAGAGAGATATTAGCCATTTTTCTACTTAGTTATGAAAAGAGTCTTTGAGAATTGAACCACACCTATGCTTGAGATGAAGAACAATAAGATCGAGAAGAGACCCGCTTATCATTTCTCGTACTAAGCAAAAGCATGATTCTCATCAGTAGTTTTAAAGTGTTTTGGATTTTGAAAGAAAAGAAGTTTTAGTTTTATGTGCGTACGTTCAAAGAGAAAGAAAAGTCAAATGGGACTAACTTACTTCTAAACCTAATGTTATTATGCGTTAGACCTAAAGTTAGAATGAATGGAGTTCTACCTAATGTTAGCATGCATATGGATTGCGATAAAGTGCGAAAATAAAATAGATTTGCGACGATACCGAACGGAGAAGGTCCGTTGCCTCTTCAAAATTGTGCAAGCGGTAAGAGAACTCTATCAAAGTTCCCTTGAGCGAGTGATTGAAGAATTAACCCCGAGTATTCCACATTGCAAGAGTTATATCAATGCTATCACAAAAAATCTTGACTAAAAAGTCAATAAAATGATTATCGAATATGAAAAATAAAATAGAAAAATTCTAATCGAAATTCTAAAAAGAAATTCTATTCTAAAAATATTCTATTATTTTTATTGTTTTATTATTGATTAAAAAAATTAAACTAAAAGAAAAAACTAAAATAATAAAATAAAAGAAAAAAATTAGAAGAGTTGGGGTATGAAGTCTAGAAATATGGGTGCTGAAGTAATTAGCCCAAAAAGATTTTCAACATTTTCTTTATTATTTACTTAATTATTATTATTATTTGTTTGAATTAAGTAAATAAAACATAGAATAATAAAATAGTTAAAACTAAAAAGAAAATAAAGCATGGAAATTGAAAAGGGAATAGGGTTTTTAGAATGAAAAGTCTCTTCTTCTCTCGCGAACGGAACAACGGCGCTACCCCCCTCTTCCGTCATCGCCGCTTCAATCGGCCTTCATCTTCCGCTCCGGCGATCTCCGATTCCATCTCCGCCGTAAATGCCGTCACTTCGATTGCGCCTTCGCCGATTATATCCAATAGTTTTCCGTTTTTTGATGAGGATGGTACCGGTGTAACCAGCTCCGGCGATTTCCGCCGCTCACCACCGTTAGAACGAAGACCGTTGGCCGCCGTCTTTCACGCGTTGCTCCGTCTCAGTTTTCACTTCAACATCACCTCACCGTCGCGGATCGTTCCGATTCCATCTTCGCCGTAAGTCACGCCGCCACTGTACTCTCTTCGTTCTTCTCCGCGTTTGCTTCTTATGTTATCCATTTCTTTTCTTCGTCTACTTCTTGCTTCTGTATGTGTTGTTGTGATTTGATGTCAAAGTTTTTGTTTGTCGAAGGTGATGATGATGTCAAGGTGCTTGAAGATTGAAGATAAAGATGCTTGAAGAACTGTGTTCTTGAGAGTTGCAGAGGAATGTTTCAGATAATAATTTAGAGGTTCGTTTTTCCCCATGAGTTTTTGTTTTCTGGATAATGAATTCTCTCTGCCCTCCTTTTTCTATTTGTCCTCCTTCGATTAACTTCTCAGATTTGTCGCACACGACCATGAGCAATCGTCTCCGCGTCTCCATGTCTCCGTTCATCTTCATTTCATTCAGTGATGCAACAAAGTGTTGTTGTTGTAGATGCAGTGATGTTCGGAGATGATGATGAAGGTTGATGAGAGTGAAACGATTGCAGTTGTGAAGGTTGAAGCAGAAGGTTATGGTGATGGTGATGGTGAGGTTTTAGAGAGAGTGCAGAGAGAAATTCTGATTTTTTGCAGAGTTGTGATTGTGGTGATTCTTTTCAATGATTGAAGAACGAGATAATTGAGAAGTAATAAGATTCTTTTTATGTGTTGAATATTCTATCTATCTCTCCTTATACATATGTTGTGAACTCTATTTATATATGCTGGAAGTTTGTTATGGTTGGTTAAGAGGTTAGAAATTCTGTTAGGTGGTTAGGAGGTGGGAAAAAAGTTGGTTATTCTGTTAATTGGTTAGGACTTAGAGAGGTTGTTATAAAATGGTTAAGAGGTGGGAAAAAAGGAAAGTTGGTTACAGTTTGGGAAATAGAAAGTTAGTTATAGTTAGAAGTTAGGAAAAAGTTAGTTTTAAGCACATAATACTTGGTGTAATTGTTGATTTTTGTATTTCAAATTAAACTAACTTGATTACGTATTGGTACTGAACCAGCTTGAAAAATGGTTGTTTATGCAGGTTTTCTTTTGGTATGAAACATGGACCGAGGCTTGGACATAACCAGGTTGGAACGGGGCAATCTTGGAAGATAGTGGCTTGAAGATAAATAACTTTAGAAATGAGGGAAACCTTGATTTAGAATTCTTTAGCTTTAGGCTACTTGAATATTTAATGTAAATTCTTGTTTTTTTTTATTTAGTAATTTTGGATGTAAACGTCCTTTTGGAATCTTCTCTTGTAATGTTCTAATGATACCGCTTGTAAATTGCATGGTTATGACCTCGAATGAACGAGAATGATTTTGGATAACCCTTTGACAAATCACGAGTAATGCTTTAGAACTTGTAAAGATTATATCATTGTATGAATGTGAACTCTTGAACTTTAATGATGGAGCCCAAATATTCCAAGTAGTCTTCTCTTCCGAATTGCCTTTTGTATCTCCAAGATTTTTAATTTTATGTTGCATATAACTCCATGGTCGTGATATGAATTTAATAAGAGTCTTTTCCAAGGACGAACTTGTAACGTCGAGTTTCTTTGCTTTTGAATGAAGACATGCCTGAACACCCTCAAATGAACGAGCCTTGCACCTTTCTTACTCCTCACTTCAAAACCATAATTGAAGAAGCTTAAGATTTTGATTTTAATGTATTTTGAAATGAAGTCCCCAAAGCATATTATATCACAAGTAAGCGAATAGACCCGACAGTGTACAAATTCCAATTTGGCAAATAGTATCCCGTTGAATCTTCTTCTCTTGCCCAGAGCTCGTGAACATATGCCTTGAGGTTCAAGGAATATCTAAACCTCATTTGATGAAGAAAGGACCATTTGAAATACTAACCCGTAAAAGATACAATTTTCTCATATGATAATCTTTTTGTATGATATATTGAAGCATCCTTGAATAAGATCTTAATGGCCATGGATATATCAAAATCTTCAACCATGATCATGGAAATAAATCATCATTCATGTGGAGGTGATAAGTATAAGACGATGTTCCTCACTGCTTAAGCTTGCAGCCTTTCGAGATAGCCTTGGGATGACTCACAATTGAAGCGGCAAGTATTTGACAAGAACCAAAAATTGTATCACTAAAAGAAGTCCACAGTGTTAGAGAAAAAAGCCACACACCAACCCTTATTCCTCGAAATCCATGATTTTATGCCAATTTATTGATTAATGATGCATGATGTGTTAGATGACCTAATGTGAGAAAAAAATGCAAAAATGCGTAAGCCAGATAGGAAGTAAAAGGGTAGGACAAATTTGGGGTATTACACCACCATATCACAGAACTGGCGACTCTGCTGGGGAATAATAAGTGGGGTATACCTTAGGATTTAGTTCATCATAAATTGCTTCTTTTGTTTGTTTTGGTTGCTTTACTTTTAAGGGTTTTGTTTGGGAGTTACTATAGATCCTAGCCCGAATCTGGGGACACCTTTTAGGTAAGTAGCAATAAACTGTGAGGGAACTGTATGGCATAGACCGATACGGTTGAAGCAGTAGCTATGTTGATGTGGCACATTGGTTGGTACTAGTATCCCTTGTGGAGAAACAAGGAGAATACGGGACCGTTGCGTGTGTCGTTAAGCATCAACTGACCTTAGAACCTTTAATCGACCAACTTGGCCATTAGAAAGTAGTGTGATAGTCGACCTCAGTGTAAAGCTGAGAACTAGTTGATACTCGATGCTACACTCATTGAGACCATATTCTCGAGATAGTTCTGGCTGCAAGAAAATATTGTGTGAGCTGAAACCATGACCGCTGGAGGGTGGTCAGTGATATTGAGATCCTCTAGAACCCGATTACTTTTATAGGACAGGTTGAACCAACTTAACTTCAAGAGGGTATTACCTTTGACCTCATGCAAGCCTAAACCTAAGGCTATTTGTGTGACTTGTGTGCTTTCAGCTTGAACTACTTGCACAGTTTTATTATATGACAACATGAGTTCCTTGCAGGTTTTGTTTACAGTCCTTATCCAATAACTTGGATTTCTTGCCGGATTTACTTGCTTACATCACCTCGCACTTTTGCTTAAACGCATAGGATACACATCATAACATCAAATGTTAACATTTCCTTAACCATTTCAAGGATCTCAAGGGTTTGTGATGCAGGTTATGGTAAATCAAACGTCTAGCAAGGGGCAAAGGGGATTTATTTTCCTCTAGCCAATGTTGTCTAGAGATCAAAACACGATAACTTGAGTCAGTGGCTATAACCCACTCGATATGGTGAGCTTGACTCTTGAAGAAGGACTCTTAATGACACGAAGTTTCTTTAATCAAGCTGCAATCAAATTCTAACAGTTTCTTGTTTACCCCACGAGATCCTTGAAAACAATGCATACATATATCATACATATCATTGCATAACAGGTCTTCCAGTACAGGTCTCTCATGTTCTTGTTGTTTATTTCAGCAATGACTCTCAAACAAGACAACATAGATCTTCAAACTCAAGAAGCTCAGTTCAGGGACATATTCTTAAACCTATCCAAGGGGCAGGAAGAGTTGAAAACACTCCTCGTTGGGAATTTGGTCAAGAAAAGTCCTGGAGACAATAAGGAGGAACGGCTGGAACAACTGCAAGCCAAGGTAGATGCAATAAGAACCTAGATGCTGGGGCAGATGGCTCTTATCTAAGACCTAGCCCGGGGACAAGAAGAGCTGAGAACCATCACCAACCAACTTCATCAAGATGGATACAACAGTATGAAGCAAACAGTCGAGGTCGGGGACCAAGTCATTGATCAACCTCCAAGAAGACAAAAGGTTGGTTTGGTGAAGAGTGGACCTTTCCAAATTGCTACTACATCACGGGTCCAACAACAACCTCGCCAAAAACAATGGGTTGATCAGAGTAAGTCGGATATGCCCAAAAGGCAGTTTACCAAAATCAACATGTCATTGGCTCAAGCATTACAACGCCTGTTGAAGGCCAAGTTGGTTATATTAAGGGACTCTCCTCAGAATCCCAACATATCCTCCCCAAGGTATAATCCTGATGTAAGGTGTGCATACCATTCCAACAGCCCTGGACATGACACCAATAGCTGTTGGGCGTTGAGAAATAAAATTCAAGACCTGATTGATGAAGGAGCGCTAGAATTTGCACAAGACGGTCAGGATGAGTTCTTCTGCCATCCCTCCAAAGCATGCCATTTAAAGTGACAAGTTCTAACAAGAGGGCTTTTCGTTCATTAGAATTTTCAATTTGTAATTTTCTTTTGATTGTTTGAACATTTATTCATATCAAACCTCGTTATTTCATCAATGCATTGCACATGTTTGTCTTGAATCAATTCATTGGTATTCACTATTTCAAAAATGTGTTCTTATTTCCTTTTGTGATATTCAACTCTCAATTAAAAACTCTAAGCCTTAGAGGGAGGATGATGAAAATGATACCATAATCTCTACAGTATGCTTTTGAACAGACCCCACTGATGATGTACAGGCGTTGTTTCAAATCCTAAACAATGGAGTTATAAGGAAGATAATCCCTAGTCGACCCCTTCGAGCCAAAGAAGTAGGAGTTTTCTTTTCACACAAATTAAAACCCTTAATCATAACTTGGGGCAGGGTAGTTTCTTAGTTAATTCAGATGCGCGTTCAATCGCAATATTCTACTTCATACATAATGAATGGCATCAAAGACATCCTTCTGAAACAAAAGACGGTGATGATTCCCTATAATCATCAAGGCAGACAGTCATTATCTCTCGAAATAAAAGCCCATTAAGTCAAAACCTATGAAGGAGACTTAAGAAAAAAAATGGGGCATCCCACTGACTGTAATCACAAAAGAAACAGTTCAGGCAAAAAACAGGGATAGTAAAACCAAAAATAAAGAGGTTACTACAAATCCTCGGCAAAAAAAAATTACAAAATGACTGCCTTTTTCAAGTAAACTTTCAGTATCCAAACCATCACCGGAACATCAAGGGCAATATTCCAAGACTCAAACTAGATCTAAATGCACAATTAACTGAGTATAGGATCGAAGAACATCACAGAGAACGGGTGGGTACAAATAAATTTTGAGCCTTTATCCTTTGTTTCTTGAATCGTGAACCAGGCCACGTTATAACCCTTAAAAGTCCTAGCTGAAGCATGGGTTAGTTTGAAAGCATATTGTTACAAAAGGTATCCTGACTCCTATAAGGTTTGCTATAAATCCTGAGTTGACATCACACTTTTACAAAAAAAACTTGTTTTACTAAAAAATGAATTTTCAAACTTCAAGACAGACGTAAGCTTTGCATTCTTAAAATAACATTGTTTGCATATGACTATTTGTTCAGCAGCATAGAAATTTGCATGACGAATATCTAGTAACAAAAACCTTCTCAATAAAAAGGATCACCTCAAGTGGAAAAACACTTCCAACCAAGGGGCACGGCATGATCATTGTCCATCATCTGGGGCAGTCAAGTCAAGATTCAAGGAATCTCTCAAAGATGCCAAATAGCCAGGGGCATATCTCCATCTGAATCACTTGGGGGCATTGGGCATGAATTCCAGCAATGAATTTTGTATGATCAAACGAACATCTTCTGGTAGTTTGGCAACACAACACTACCGACAGTGATAACTCCCTACACCCTGAGAGCGTGTACATAGTCAGAAAATACTGCGCATGAACAAAGACCCGCTAGGTTGACTGGCCTAGGTAAAAATAAGGGCATCCCAGCGAACCAAAAGGGTTCGGGCAAAAATTAGGGATAAAAACAAAAAGGATATATACACCCGGCAAGCCGAAAACCTGAAAAGGCATCTTGGGCAAAAAAGGGTATCCCGATGGACTGAAAATCTGAAAAGACAGTCCAGGCAAAATTAGGGATTAAAGCGTACTATTATGTCCCATCTCTTGTCTATCAGTGGAAGACTTATACCTTGATCAGCATTCAGCAAGAGCACCAGAATCGATACAGTTTAGATACGCTCCAGATACGGATGCCATTCTGATACTCATTCAGATTCAGCTTTCAGATATAGTTCAGATACGCTCCAGATACGGATGCCATTCTAATACTCATTCAGGTTCAGCTTTCAGATACATTTCAGATACGCTCCAGAT